ACACACACACACACACACACACACACACACACACACACACACACACAACACACATACCACTACACACACCAAATTATAGATATATCCCCCCTAAGCCCCCTCTTTATGTACACACATTTGCAAAAACACACGCGCACACACCCTGTTTCCCTCCCCCCTCCTGTTCCATACCAGGGCACGTCAAGACAAAACAAAGAACACCCCATAATAGTCAGAGTCGCACTGTATGCATGGCAACCAGTTATGTCAGAGATGAAGATACCACCATGTGTGTTTCACTGTACACTTTACAGGAGCGCGCACATGCACGCACACACTAAATTGCAGGTTAATGGGTTTTTGTCTGCACACACAAACACAAACTGAAGTTTGTGTAAACGATGACTTACGCGCTGCAGAAAAAGCTCACAAAAAGAATGAAAAACGCAAGTTTTAGGTTAAAATTGACGACTTAAAAAGAAAAAGATCCTCGAAAGTGAAACCAAAATACAGAAATAAAAATACAGGCTCATCAACAAGACCGACGTGCGCTTTTCACAACAAAAAAGGCCGAGAAAACGTTCAAACCACAACGGCACAAAATAGGAACAAGACAGAAAGAACACAAACGCACGAGTTACATTAAAGAATGCAACATCGCACACGCACAAAATGAGGAAATGCAACAATCAGGCAAAAAAACTCACATCGACACAAAACTGTAACAACACTTTGACAAAAAAACACAAACGAATCACCAACAAATGACTAAAACAAATAAAACAAATAAAAAGTGACAAAAATATAAAACCAGCACAAACTTTGTGACACATCAGGTCCAAGAGTTAAAACATTAATTTTTTTAACACTTCAGCGATAATTTGCACACAAAAAGTTATGAAAGTTATGAAAACAGCAGAAATTAATTCATGTATTTCCATAAACGATGGACGTGACATCATCATGAAGACCAAGGCACAGAGAACAAGTTGTGGACCTGTGTAACGGTGCCACATCTACCGCATGACTATTAAAAACTGTAAAATAAGTTTGAACACATATTAGTTATGATTATATTTATTAAAAGTTGTTTTTTTTTTTATCTAGCTGTAAACACTTTATGTGCAACAACTGTGATTGTTTTATTTTAGGTGACTTATAGTTTAACACTTTGTTACTTTTACAGAAAATCAAACATTTATACAGTTTTTCCCAGCGGCTGAAAACAAGGTGGATGATCATTGTTTTTGCTCATGTCTGTCAACAAAATATCTCATGAACCACCGGGCGGATTTTAATGAAACTTACAGAAGAAAGTATTTCTACGACTGTTTGACTTTTGGAGTGAACACAGTTCAAGATGAAGCTTAAATCATGTCTTCTGGACAGTTTCTTTTCAAGATGGCTACCGCAGCTAACTGACTCCAGTGGTTCCCAACACTGCTCCCTGAGGAACACCGTCCTGCATGTTTAAGTTGTTTGATTACCTCCTTAAGTTCGGCAGAAGCCTGTTAATCACCCGCTCATCCAAATCAGGTGTGTTGGAGCAGAGGAACAGGGTGGTGTTCCTCAGGGACCAGGGTTGGGAACCACTGCTTTAGCCTACGTATGACTGGCTATAACTGAAGCAGTTTTACAGATGCTGAGCTGAGACTGGGTGTGGCAGTCGTTGAGAGTTATCCCGAACACGTACTCTGAGCACATGCGCAACATGAGATCGAGTATAAAACAGTTTTAACTTTGTCTCAGCTTCTTAAAAGTCTGTGAGGAAAAGCAGCGCGTGACGTGCACTCGCTGAAGCCAGATCAAATGATTGAGCAGAACTGTGCAACTGTCACTAAACTGTACGTGCACGTGAGTCTTTGTTTATTGTTTGTTTTTCTTTACAAACAGCCACAAACAAAGTGTCGTTCACAAACACAACAAGGCTCGACGCACGCTTTCTCTCCTGGAATACATCTTTGTTTAGACAAACCGTGTGTGCGTGGCTGCGCGTGTGTGGCTGCGTGTGTGTGCACGTGGGCGTCCTCTAAGAAAAAAAAAAGAGGGAGAGGTCAGGTTTCTTTCCCACAATGCAACTCTTCTTGATCCCTCACCCCCTCCTTCTTCTTAACGTTGGTCGCCCGTGGCAACGCACTTATAATGAGGTCAGGTGGACATCCAATAATATTCATCAGAGTCAAACTGTCAACAAGAAAACAAGGAGGCCTCGTTGTCATCAGCTGGCCTGTCGACCAGCAGAATCTGAAACTGGTCTGAAACCAGTTTAATGTAAACTGTGCGTCCACCTGTGGTGAAATCGTTTAACTTTACGTCTTTATTCACCAAACCAACACGTCAAAAACAAGTTTACGTTACACAAATAAATCATTCACAGTTTATGCTCACTAACGCAAACGTAAAGTTTGGACTCTGTTTTTTTTTTTTTTTTACGGTGTTTTCCGTAGCAAATAGTTTATTTAAGTGTACTACAAGTATTTATACTAAAAATGTGGACGTGCACTTGAAGTTTACTTTTTATAAACTTTATTTGATATACTTAGTATAAAAATGTCCCAATTTAGTCCAAACAAGTATTAAATCTGTATACTTTAGTACACTACAAGTATAGTGTGTAGTATACTTGATATACTTAAAGTATACTTGCAAAAATGAACTTCAAATGTACTAGTTTTTGTTAAGGGTCAGATCGAAACAGAAAAACTGAATCTATAATTTTCACCCGCTGCTGAAAGGTTCTGCCATTCTTTGTGTGTCTGTTAGCAAAATATCTCATGAACTTCTGTAATGAAACATGCGGTCAGTGAATGTACATCTGGGTAACAAATTCAAGATGGCCGCCGTATCCAAGCAACCGTAGCAAATAAAAAAATGGCAACGAAGCCACATTTATATTGTTACGCTAAACTTTGGTGTGGTGGTAGCTGAGAGTCGTAGAAAACACAAACTGGAGGCCACTCGTGTTTGCTTAACACTAGCAGTCCACTTTGTCTGTTAGTAAAATATCTCATGAACCACTGGATGGATTTTAATGAAATTATCAAAATGTAATTATTAAATATATATTTATTTGATTAATCTTTGGAGTCGAACCAGTTCAAGATGGCCACCACAGCTAGTGACATTGTTTTACTGATATTTGTTGAGGCATCTCCAACACGAGTGTGACATCATGAAATATCACATTAAAGAGTGCAAAATAATGTTTAACTGATTTATTAATAAATTGGAGTGTCAGTGGTTTGTATTTCTCAGTCAAGATTAAATTTATTATTTTATTCAAACCTGCGTTTTGTTTTCCGAAGGACACCAAAGTCCAAAACGTCTGTCAGTGAACAGAGAACGAAGTTCTTCACGTTTCACATTTCAGTGAGTTCAACAACAAGTTAACGCAGAGAAAACTGAAATAAAGATTCTTAAATAAAATAAAACGAATCATTTCAGGCACGAACACACACGTCCTCTCAAAAGGAGTCGCGTCAGGTTTTAGAAGAAGTGGAGCTTTGGGGGAAAATTTGCATAAACGGCGACTAAAGTGAGATTTCCATCTTTGTTATTTATGAATGTCAACATGACGAGCGCCCATCAAGAGTTCTGTTAAGGAGTTTTACAGTTTTACAGCAACGTCCAACTCAAACGCATTTAAAGATGAGCCACATTCAAATAGTTTTTAACCTTTAAAATAATCTTTAAACAATGTGACAGATTGAAGTTAATATGTCCTCATTAATAAAAAGTCACACTCTGGTATTGTGCAAATCTGTCAAATGGTTAGATTATTCTGGATTATGTCTGTATCAGAATAAAAACGACGAGTCCTGTGATGTTTCTGCAGACAGAACAGTTTGAGTTGAAGCCGATTCAGCTGAGACAAAAGAAAATTTGTGTTTCTGATGTCATTGATGTTTTAATTGATTATGTGAAGCACTTTGTAACATTTTGTTTGAAAGGTGCTACACAAATAAATTATAAGAGACGGAAGACAAAAAAAGAACGGGAACGAGGGACCAGGCAGGATGTGGCTGAGCGGTTCATTTGCTTTAAGGTTTTTATTTATTTATTTATTTTACTGCCTTCCCTCAGACAAAGAACCAAGCAGTGCTCCTCCACTCTGAAGAACCCATGTTAGACTGCCAATCATCAGAGTCCAGGTCATTTCCATCCTGTAAACCCTGAACGCACGAGAACAGCTCCCCCTGCTGGTCACTGTGCGGAACTGCAGTAGCGACTCGTTTAAGGACAGAAAACTGAACTTAAATCTTTTTAACATTTATTGGACATAAAATAAAAATATATATCTCAAGTAATCGTATGTTTCTTAGATCCAATTTAAGTATTTAATCTGTTATTTTAATTTACAAATGCATCTTTTAAATGTTATTTTACAGCAAACGGTTTTAAATTTTATGCATTTTTTATTCATCCATTTTCAGCAAAACTTAAAAGAGCTGGAAATAAATATAAATCAGAAATGTTTCAGAATCAGCTTTGTTGTTCATTTCGAAGAATTAAACTATTTATCAGCATTTTATGAACTTTTAATGTTTTTGTTTTGCCATTTTAATAAAGATATTTAAAAAAATAAAGAAACAAACCATCGTTTGCTGACATCTTTGTACTTGAGAAGTTGCAGAATGAAGTGAAGCAATAAGTCGGCATCAATCAAAATTCAAATACTAATTTATTTCAAAACACCCCACCACTTCAAACGTTCAAATCTCAAGACAGAACACAAACTTCTGCCGTGTAAAATCTGCTTTAAACAAATTCTTTCGTTTGTTGAACGCTTATCATAAAAATCTTCTAGTTTTATCAAACCAACCCAGCCAGACTCTTCTGTTGGCAACAATAATACAAAATACCTAAAATAAAGTCAAAGTGGCTACAAACCTGCAAGAAGATTGTTCCCCAAGAAACTAAAAGCCAAACTCGGTATAACACTCGTAATCATCTGAATAAACAGGAACAGATTATGGAGGAAAAATTAATCTCAAACCATTTCAAAGGGAAATAAAGTCGAGTAAAAACAGTTTTTTTAAAGTTATTAAAGTCAAAACGGGCACAAAGTCACGAAGCTCCGACGACATTTAATGCTTCAGTCTCCATTTTGTTCACAATCGTTGACTTTTATTCCTCGGAATGAACTTTTGTCGTAAAAGACGCTGACGGCAACAAACCAACAGATTTTCAGAGATAACTCGGGACACAAGGAGCTTCTGGGCTTGTTTGTCTAAAAACATGGATTTATTCGACCTTTGGCCAAAGAATCGCAAGAATCTGATTATTCCCTTCTCAGAACATTCTGGGTTCGCTTCATAAAACTAACGAATTGTAACGTTTGAGGATCAGACCGAGTTTAAGGCATTTCCAGAGCAACATGGACGTTTTCGACTGAACTGAATGATTTGTGAAACGTCAGAAGACTTTACGGCTCGACCGCCATCTTCTACACCTTTTAACGATCGGGATTATTTTTCTCTCTTCCTCCTGAAAACTCCACGTCCGTCACTGGAAGCAGCGCTTTCCGAGGACATCGATAAGTTTCGCCTCTTACGGTTCCCGGATTGTGCAAATTTAAAATGCGAGCACAATAATTAGCGCACGTTTGGACAGAAAGATGATTTTAAAGTGACGATAGAAAAGCTTGGTTTCTGTTTTGACTCACCCGACACTTTTTCCCACATAAATTAAAGCAGATTACCGTATTTTTCCAACTATAAAACACTTAAAATCCTTTAATTTTCTCAAACAACAACAGTGCGCCTTCTGTATTAAATCTGTGCTTACTGACCTCAAACAGATTTGATGTATTATTATATTTATATTACACGGAGCACAAAATGTTTTCGTTTCACTTAATGCGCCTTAGTCTGAAAAATACGGTAATTATTTATCAGTCTGATTAATTTAAATCTGATTGTCTAATCAGCTCAAGGGAACTTTGCTGTCCCACGTGTGATTTGTCACAATTAGATAATTAGCACAGATTTATTTTTACTGGAAACGTTTAAACACATTTTATGGTTAAAAAGTGATTTTTTCACCCCAATCTGTTGGATTTACGAGGATTATACGATGTCGGCTGCACTTTAAATTACAGTTTAGTTTCCAAGAATCATTGGAGGTGCATATAAAGTAATAATTGCATTACTTAAAACTTTCTTTTGGTACTTATAAAATTTATTACAATATATTTTCCTGTGAAGTCCTAAAGATAAAACAAAACAAAAAAAATAATATACAGAAAAAAAAAATAGTTTTGGCTTCTTGTTTAGTTTAGTAAAAGCTGGTATTTAATAAAGAGGGAGGAGTTTTAAACATTTGTAAAACGGCGCCTCGTTTCTTTTCTAAATTATTCCTCCGAACGTGGAGGCTGTTTGCAGTTTCGGTGTAAACGTGACTTCGTTTGTTGCATCTTCAAGAAATCGGAGGCTCAAGTGTTTATTGTTCGTCCCAGTGGGAAAGCGGGGAGTCCTTGTTAGTGAGGAGTGTAGTTCATGTATGTTAGTCATGTTAAAGGACACGTTTCTATCAGGAAGTTAAATGTTCCAGCACGGTTGGCTCACAACGGCTGAAGGCACTGTTTCAACACGTCTACGCCACCCTCCCTCTGTTCCCGGACAGGATGAGCTCTTCCCCGTCCTCCTCCTCTTCCTCTTCCTCGGGCGTGTCTATAGGAGGAAGCAGCGCTTCTTGGGTTTGATGTCTGGAGGCTCCAGAGCTGCCAGGATGGCCTCGTCGAACACGTTCTTCAGTCCTCGCTGAGAACGAGGCACAAAGAAAAACACGGGAGAGAGAAATACGAGTGAAACGACACAACAAACACTAAATACAGCACCAGTGTTTCCAGTTGTGAACAAACGAGTGGAATAAACTACCAACTTAAACATTTGCATGAGCAGAATTTATTGGTCATTACCTTAAAACTTAAAAGACTCTGGCTACAGGGTTCCCAGCATTTCACAAAAAAAAGTAGTAAAGAGTAAATCTTGAAATTTCATGGAAATATTTCAGTCGCACGAAACTTTTCATCGTGGGCGGCATCAAGTCCCATTCAGACAGGAAGTACACAGGATCCTACGATATGTGCATACGGCAAACATTCCTAATAATTAATTATATTTTATAACGTTAGGCAGTAAGGACACATGTACTGTCACTGATACTAGAATACTAGCGCTGCTTCATAAGGACCCACGGTGTCACCGCCTCTTTTAGAAGCGAGAAAAGTTTCTTATTAAGTTTTAACATCAACTTTTATCTCATGAAGTCCTGAAGTGACATCTACTGATTCAGTCATGTGACTAGTGAGGGACTCTGGGAACTGACGACATCATTTCCGAAGTCTCGGTGCACCTGGGCAGCTAATGTGGCCGCTAAGCTAACTTTAGAAAGTTTATTTTCGTTAAACCAAAGGTGAGTTTCCACCGTTTCAATGATGCTAATCCTTAGAGAACATGTCGTAGCTCACATATAACCTGGTTTGATGGCATTTCTAAAACAATTTGATAAAGAATAGGTTTGTCAAATATCGTTGAGACACATTTGTCACATCGGGCAATAAACTAAAATCGTACAAAAAAAAAATCTCCATATTTGACAAATGTTCATCATCTGCTTAATCAATTTACCTCATTCTGTTATTTTAGATAAATATATGTTAAGAAGTTGCAAATGAATAGAAAATTCTGTGTTAAAAACAAAACAACAGTTTAGATGATTCATTTCCAAATGCGTAATAAATTTACTAAATACGCCCAATGTGATATAAAAGTCACATTTCAGATCTGAGGTATTCAAAAATAAACTTTCAGAAATGTGTAATAGTTTACAACTCCCCAAATTTTCATGAAAGTAGAAAAGGTTCTGGGTTCTTTTCGTACATGTACACAACAAAAACTCAAAGGTATCTTTTAATCAGCCGATCAACGTTCAACTTCCACTTCCTTCAAATTTACTAATTTTTTAATATTTTTTCCCAAATTCTCTCATTTCCCCGTTATATTACGGTACATTAAAAACACCGGTGTATATATGTTCATGCCCATAAAGAGTGTTTAATGTTTAAATACAATCACAGACTGCAGACCAACAATTAGCACAAATGCTAATTTAACATTGAAAATGTCATTGAAAAGCTAACACGATTAGCATCAAGGTCATCAGTGGAAACTTGAACACAAATCAATGGTTTGATCATTAAAGAAACCGTGTGATGATGACTCCATTACTTCTGGTCATATTCATCAGGGTTTAGAGAAGAAAAGATGAAAAATATGTATAAAAATACACAAATCCACAGCGACTTGTGTCCACTACAGGAAGCTACGGTAACTCTTCTGGGACAAACGGAAGTCTGCAGCAACAACTCAGCCGAGACTTGAAAAGTGGCAACACAGATTAAATAATTTGACTCAATCTCAACTCAATTAGTCTGTCATGTCTGCGATGCAACGCCTCTAAAACCAGACGTTATCCTGCACCCAGGGGCCGCTGGTTGACGAGACTTTTCTTCATATCTAGCTTCGTTTTTTTTTAAACTTGAGCATAATTTGGACAAAAAAAAGTTGATTTATAAACTGGTTGGACATATTACAATTATTTAAATAATCTGCAAAAAATGATGATATAAACATGTTTGTGCTTTAATAAAAATATAAAAATAATTTGAGTGAAGCTCACCAGCAGACATGGTTGATTTGAACTCCGGCTCGGGGCAGATTTTATTCTTTTTTTGGATAAATTGTTGCAATAAGTTAATTAAGACAATCTTACTCCCTTTTTCCAACATAGACCAGCACGAGTTGCAAACACTAACTCTTGTTTTTAAAAGAAACGTAAAAAATGTGTTACCTGTGTCAGAGCCGAGCACTCCACGTATTTAACGGCTCTGAGCTCGCGGGCCAGTTTCTCTCCGCTCTCGAAGGTCAGAGGTCGCTGTTTGTTCTTGGCTAGCTTGTCCATGGTGTTGTTGTCGTCTCTCAGATCCACCTGCGTCCCGACCAGCAGGAAGGGCGTCCTGGGGCAGTGGTGTGAAATCTCTGGCACCCACTGTGAAAAGTTTCGGCTCAGGTTTGAATCCCATTTTAAAAGTGCACCCCTGCTGATCTGTGCGGACTCTTTAGTGTAATATAATTCATTTGAAACATTGAGAAAATAATATTTTCACTGAACTTGTGTGTGAATTGAAACGAGCATAAAATAATCTGAGTGAAAGCTAAGCAAACCTTCTCTCTGACGTTTTCAAAGGAGGACGGCGATACGACGGAGAAACAGACGAGGAAGACGTCAGTCTGAGGGTAGCTCAGAGGTCTCAGTCTGTCGTAGTCCTCCTGACCTGCAGGGGGAGACAGAAACAGCCTCAGCTAAAATAGTTACAAATATCAAGTTTTAACTATTGAACTCTGCGATCAAAACGTTTATATTATTTTAAAAACGAATACACAACACCAGCTATTCCTTTATTGTTACAATCATAGTAAAATGTCTTGATTCCAAAGTAATCCGGGAAAAAAAAAAAGAAACAACAATGAGCAGATTTATTTGTACCTGCGGTGTCAAAGAGTCCGAGGGTGTACGGCTCCCCGCCGATCATCACCGTCACTGCATAGTTGTCAAACACCTGGGGGGGGGGGGGGGGGGGGGAAAAAAAAAATTAAAAAAAAAAAAAAGAGGAGGGGAAAATCTTTTATTTAGGAATAAATGAAAATGCTTACTTATAAGAACCCTGGGCTTAATTAAGATTTTTTTAATGCGATGTCCAAATAAAACTGGTCATTTAACTGTCAGTGATGGTGTACCACAAGGCTCAGTCTTAGGACCCACCCTCTTCATGATCTACATAAGTAATGTAGGTCAGATTATCCCTGACGCATTTTGCATTTCTATGCCGACGATACAGTTGTTTATTGTGGAGCTGAAACAGTTTCTAAGGTGTTCCAGTTTCCACAGTCTACATTCGACATCATCCAGTCAGATTTGTTCCGTCTCAAACTGGTGCTAAATGCTGATAAAACCAAAGGGATGTTTTCAAACAGGAAGTCAGTACCAGCAGTCCTTCTTTCCATCTTATTTATGAATGGTGTTCCTACCGAGTTGGTGGATTCTTACAGATACTTGGGAATCTTGGTTGATGCACATCTCTCTTTGAAGCTGCTGAAAACTTGATAAAGAAACTGAAATTAAAACTGGGTTTCTTTTTTCAGAAATAGATCTTGCTCAACTCTGAATGCTAGGAAACACCTCGTCACTGCTACTTTCCTACCCTCCACTGATTATGGCGACATTATTTACAAGAATGCTCTTGCAAGCACCTTGAAGATGTTGGATGCCGTGTATCTCGATGCGCTAAGATTCATAACTGGATGTACCCACCCTGTATTCACTGGTTAACTGGACATCATTAACTTCACGCAGACTCTCTCACTGGTACATTTTCATCTTTAAATCACTTCTTGGCCTGCTGCCTTCATGCCATTGTGCGAGTGCAGCTACAGCGTGCGCTCTCAAGACATCATTACCTGCAGCGTCCCTCATCAAAAAGGCCTCCTCTTACTCTGCTCCTGTAACACCTTGCAAAAAGATCTGAAGCTGTCTACTTTGATCTGTCTAAAGGATTTTAAACGATTACTGTATGTTCAATGAAAATAAATAAACCAATCAATGCAGACATGTTCCTGTTTTTAGTATTTTACCTCGTTTCATAAGGTAGCTTGATGTTGTTGTTTTGTAGCACTGCGTTGTTTGCTTTTTACTTTGTGTGCATTGTGTGGACCTTATCTGTGGTTTGTGTAAGACAGGTCTCTCTTGAAAATGAGTCCTCGTGACTCAATGAGACTAATCTGTATAAATAAAAAGGTTGAGTTTTTTAAATACTGAGCACATTTAAACTTTCTGACACATTTGACTCAGGGAAAGCTGCTCATGTTTCTCAGAATCTTCCTTTCAGCCCAGACTCTCCCAGCAGCTGCACAACGACTCGTTTCAGAAGTTAAATATATTTTACTCCGGACGGTTTACTACTAGCAAACTGGTCCTTTTATGCTGCTTTCAGGCTTTACCTACTTTTTGGCTTTAACAATTTTGCCCATTTTATTTGATTTTTTTCTACACTTCTGCAACCTTTTGCTTTTAGCAACATTTATGCTAATTTAGGTTCAATTGCTAATCTGCTCGTTTTAACTAATAATTAAAGTGCCAATCCATTCTGCGACAAACGTGAGCAGTTATTCACCCCTCGTACTGCACTTGAGCAGAAAAATCCAGTTTCTTTTGTCCTTTTAGTCGAACACAATGTATTTAATTAAAAACACACGTTGGCCTCAGTTCACATTATTTTCAGTCCAAATAAATGTTGAACATTTAGTTTAGCAAAGCTGTGAACTTGTTCACGGAGCAGTCAGGTGCGTAGGATTATTCACTTAAGCAGAGTCACGTTAGATTTCTGCTTAACAAGTACTTTAAAAGTATTATATATATCAGTCGATGACCTTTCTACATGTTAGAATAGCTTCTGTGGTTGTTCATCCAGGTTTGGCCCCAGCGCAGGAGGAACACATGCTCTGATTACATAACTAATTATTTCATAAAACGTAGGAAACGTTGGTTAACGCCTGCAACAATGGAGCTGCTTGAAGCACTAAAGAAATGAGATGTGGGAGGTTTTAAAGGTTAGAAATTAAGCCGTGTACTCTCGACTGTGTAGGTGCGGTTTCAAGCATTTTGATGATGATGGCGTCTCCTTGACAACGTAAATAAACAACGTCACAGCCGTCAGAATTTGGGTTTCCATTTCAGTATACTGTTACAGTAAACGAATGACAACAAAAGAAAAAACTCTCCAACAGGTCGGCAGAAATCTTAAGAACTAGAAGTGTTGGAAGGTAAAACCAGTTTAAAGTGGCTTCAAAACGAACTGAAACTGAACGTGCACATCGACCTGCTGATCAGATATTTCGCATGTTTTATACCTTCGTGTACAAAAAACACGCGGCGCGATCACGACACGCTGCCAACCTCAGCTCTGCGAGGGCGTCGCTGCGCCTGCGGGGCTGCGCGGCAGCACGCCGCCGTCTGCTGTAGCCTGCACACACCTGTCGGGTTTCACGAAGCTCCGACTGCACAGACACGTTCCACATAAACTCCATGACGTGGCGTTTAGGAGAAACAACAGGAAACGGCTTTCACTGAAGCATCAACAGCATCTCTGTGATGGCAAATTTCCTTCCTGATTTTAATATCATGAATCAGATATTTACCATTTCAACAGATTTCAGGTCTAAAGTGCAATATTACGATTGTTAAAACTGTAATTAAAAATCCGATTTGTATTAATTTATACCGTACGGTCTAAAGGTTTGGGCCTTTATGCTGAAAAAAGTGCCAACTTTCAAATCAAACAGTTCAAATATCTTGTATGCACAGTTATTGAGTTCATGCCTTTTAAAAAAGATGAATGATTTGACCAATTAAAAAAAAAAAAAAAAAAAATCCTAAATGTGTTTTAGTAAATAAAACTTCCAGTTGTTTTGAGTTTTATTCTCTTAGTGTACTCGTATAAACTAAGACACTTTAGAGATGCAGTTTTTTCTCCAATATCCAGGTTCTCTCATTTTAGTTAATTACAATCTTTTTTTTTAATCAAACGCTTTCTGATCATTTCTGGACTTAAAAGATTCAGCTTCTAAACAAATTGGAAAAACGCCACTCGGTTCATGCAGGTACACAAGTTTGTACTTTAGTTAAGGACACGTTTACTTCCTCAAAGAAGAAGCCGACTTAAATAAATGAATGAAATATGAAAATAAATCAAGTTGCTCTGTTCGCTTCGACAAAAGCTCAGAAAAACTAATACTTCACTAGAACGCAAACTACATACAAGCACACTCTTCTATGGCTTTTATTGGTTTATCTAGATATATTTTCAGATCATACTTTTTGATAAACTGCCACTATATGAATAAAATGAAGTTAGTTCACAACAACAGAGATGAGACGGCACATAAATGACAAATGGAGCTCGGACTAGAAGCTGCAGGAATAAAAACCCACTGGAAAAGAGCTGAACAGAAACTTCCCGTCTGTTGCTTTTTCAAATCACTGCTGATACTGAAGAACAGAGAAGCTCCTCTTAATTCTAATAACGCGTCAGTTTATGTTAAAGGCACACGTTTATCAGAACGGACTTCCTCTCTCCTGGTTTCTTATTGTGGTGTCGGTCTGCTGACTAACAGGAAACGCAGCGAGACGCAGCAGCAACACAATAAATCCAAGAGGAAACAGGCGGTCTTTCATACTTTTAGTCCCGTGAAAAAGTTGACCAAGTCGCAGCTGTGGTGTGATTTCTCTAAAAGCAGAAACAAAAAGTCCTAATATCTGTAAGAGAGAAGAAGAAGAAGCTGTGGAAATTCATAAAGTGAATTAAATTTTAGGCTAAAGCTTTAGAGCGGACACAGAGGTTTGTTGCCAACAATAGAATAATGCAGACAGGAAGAGGATGTTGTGTATGTGATAAAAACAACAGGAAAATAAGCTATTAAACAGTCATAACTGTTGCTGAGGGATCAAAACAAAGAAGTTTAAAAAACAGTTTTTTTTAAATAGAGGTGTGACTTTGTGTGAAAGAAGCTGCATGAAGGAAAGTAGGTGTAAGAGACGGTGCAGAGGTCAAGTGAGCGCCGCTGCTTCTGTAATCTTCAGATCAAACTGTGCCGGGAGACAAAGTGCCCGTCTGCTCGAAGCCATCGGGCCGTAAAGCTGCCAATCAGCGAGTGCAGGCACTTGCAGCCGGACGTACCGGCCCCTCAACAATACGTTTTCTGACGGGCGCAAACTTGACTTCGTACGATCCAACAGGGTTGTGCTATGAAGTGAGATTAACTGCTTAGCTGGATAAACTGAGCCGAAAGAGAGAGTTTTCTGTATCACTTGAACCTGGTTACATCACCATGGTAACAGATAACGAACGCATAACCTGCTTCAGAACAGGTTATGTTCGGAGTTTTGATTTTAATCCTCATCCTGATATAATCTCAGATGGAAATCGGACCGAAACCTTTATAACAGACAGAAGGGCGGACTGTTGCCACCAATTTAAAAAGCTCAACTGATGCCGAATAAACATCAGATTATTAATAAGTAAACAAACAAACATCCGTCATTCTGACATGTCAAGTTAGAGCACCACATTTAGACATTGATCAAATGATGGTGTTTTAGTTGACAAGCCAACAAAGTCCATGCTCAATAATCCAGGTATGCAATCCAACAACTTTCAGTCAGGTCATCAGGACAGCTTCAGATATTGAGCATGGACTTTGTTGGTTTTGAACCAGTTTGACATGACTGTCGACGAGGGCCGGCACCGGAGGAGGGGGCGTGCCAAAGAGACCACCTTAGCACCAACATAACTGGTTTGTTCCACTTTGGAGTAAGCTGTTTGGGGGAAGAATCAGTTTTGTGTTGTGCGTTTCCTTGACTGATGAAGCCTTCTGGATGGAAGGTGAAACGTTTCAGCACAAAAAAACTAACAAAAAAAAAGAAACTGTCCAGATGACCTGACAGAAAATTGTTGGGTTTAGTCGACAAGATTAACTTCAAACCGATGACGTTTGAGATGCTCATGAACTTAAATACGTATTCAAGGCCATGCGTTTCTCCAGAAGCTTTAGTTTTTATCTAAATATTAGACGATGTTCAGGATGGTGATAGTTTGTTCTCACTTTCCTTCACATTAAAGCTCTCATTAAGCAGCACCAGATCAATTGGATCGATCCTTAATATTTAAATTATATATATTTTTACTTTATCAGATCTCAACTTTTGACATTGGAAACCGTTTAATTGCAGGAAATTTACTCCCTGGTCTTGATTGAGACAACACTTGATTTCAACTGCGATTATTTATTTAGACAAAACACAAACGGCGCACGCGTGTCAAAAATTATCTCTCCGTGTTGAATTATGGCCCCAAAACAGGCAACTAGTTGATGCTTCATGCAGCAGCGTCTGGCAACATTTGCCAACACTTTCATTTTCCAGCTTCAACTGTTGAACAACACATTTTATGTGCACCCATGGTCCAACTGCACAGCCGGTTCTGGTAGCAGCTCTCCTTTTATCTTTTTAGTGGCTGCTTATTTTAACTTTTCATCACAGCGCTGTTTTAAATCAAAAGTTTACAAATGGATGAGGAAAGACTCATTTTGAGGTAATCCATTGCTTGAGAAGTTGGTTATACTGGTGAGAAAGAAACAGCGTTAAGCTACTATTTTAAAGTTGATCTGCTTGATACGTTTCACGTGTTTTAGTGGCGCTAACCGACTTGTTTACTTAGTCCCTTCACTGTAAACAAGTGTTACTTCCTGCGAGACAAGAAAATGAAAAGAAAACAACGCAAATAGAAAAATCCACATTTGAAAACATCCCCTTCGTGTCAGTACTGATCGCTTCGCAGTGTGAAACAGTGTCAAGTTAGCTTGTTGGTGGTGCCAGTGGTTACTTACAGTAGGAACATACTCAGAGGGAAACTTGTTAGTTGTGTAGGAGATGAGCAGGCAGGTCTTCCCCACCGCGCCGTCACCCACCACCACACACTTTATGGTCTGCATCTGAGGACGAAACATGTCGACGGTTAACGAAAGAAGAAAAACACAAAAAGGACAGGAAATTAAAGTTTGAAAGGGGTCTGCGGGTGCTCGGTGGTCAAGCCTTGGTTGCGTCAGGAAGAACATCCGGCGTAAAACTATTGCCAAATAATTTATGCGAGTTTGCTCACATGCAGCTCGTTCTTTCGGCTTCTCCCATCGGCAGGGAGCAGCCGAAAGAACGAGCTGCAGTAGCACCACGTCAAAACGTCGCTCTTTTACATCTTTCTATGTCGACTGTAGCTTTATTATAGCCCCAGCATCCATTTAGTTACGTTACCCGTTTTTCATGCAGGGTTGCAAGAACCGGTGCCCATCTCCAGCAGTCACTGGGTGAGAGGCGATATGTAAACAAATTAATCTTTTACTTGGTTTTATTTGGCTCACACAATAAATTAATCTTTTTTTGTTTGTTTACTTAGTGGGTACCTATAGGAACTGCCTGAATTGTATAGAAATAGATGGATTTGGTAATTATCTTAGAAAAAATATATAATTTATACAAAGAATAGTTTGTTTTTCTCCCAAATTTGAAATCTGAGCTGCATTTGAGAAGTTTCTCTTTACCCACTTCTTCCTTTCCAGGTCGCGGGGGTCTCTGGTGCTCGTTTCCAGCAATCACTGTGCGAGAGGCGCGCGCACCCTGGACAGGTTGCACGTCGATCACAGGAACACACGACCTAAACGATTGACGAGATAAACTCCTGCCATTCTCTGTCTCGTCAGGCGCGTTTTAGTAACTTTGGGATGGAAAGCATGTAGATCTGTCTGGAATGTTATGAACAGGAAGTGAGTGTGAGACAAGTTGATGGAAACGGCAGTGGATCTGTAGAACGCCGTTGACCATCCGCTGACGAGAGAACCTGTGACAGCCCAGACGGTAAGCAGCTCCCATACCTCGGCTGCTGCCTGTTTACGAGGGACAATTGTAGAGAGGTATGGGATGCCACTTCATCAGTGGCTCTTTGTCTGAGCCAATTTATTTAAAATTCAACTCTGATGAGTCAGGAACAGGGTAACTGGTCACAGGGTGAAGGGACGACAACAACGATTATACCAGGAAACATTCCCCCGACGGTAATTCACACTCGCGTGAAAACAATTCTGAACAATTGGAGGCAAGCATGTCTTTCTGACGCACTTTTGTTTGTTGCACACACACGGTTATCTGCGATATCAAGTTGGTCCTGTTTGGCAGACGCAGTAAATGATAAGTGACAGATTTATTTGCTTTTACATTAAACTACCCTGATGTTTCATTTTAAAACCACACGGCTTCTCTTCAACTATAAAAACACACCTTTACAGCAGAATGTAAGATTAAAACAAGTGTCATTCACACCTTTATTCTCCAGCATTTTGAGATTTAAAATAAACTGAGGATACCACAGTCATGCCTTGTTCAGCCCAAACCTAACATTCAAACTAAACCTAAAACTTTAGATTCAGCTCTTGTTAAAAGCTGATTTATGTTTATAATCTGAGAGGTATTAATGTGAAAAGTAGGTAGGCCATACTCATAAAATCTTTATTTAAAATCTCAATTAAAATCAAGTTTCTGTCATTCCATTTTTAACTTAATTGTAACTGAATAATGTAACACCAATCGAGCTCAAACTGTTTCATGTCTACGTTTTAGAGCTTGTAGTTTATTTTGCCCAAAAGGTTTCAGTTTTTCAGCCACTTCAGCGTAAACTTAACCAATAAAAAAAATAAAACAACAAAAACAAATTATATCAAAACACGTTAAAGCTGACGGCGTTTTTTAAAAAAAAGAACGTTTTACTAGAAACGAAGCTAATCTCAGTTCGATAGAAAGCTAACCTTGCTTTAAACAAAACAAACCGTTTAAAGCAATTTTAATACATTAAGACCATAACACAAAGCTATAAACTTCGTGTAGTTGTATTATTAATTAACTAGTTGCTCTGGTTTATTAAAAAAAACATCTTGGAACAAGTGATTCATTAGCACAGTTAGCTTAAAGTTAGCCGTTTAAAATAATTACCTACAAGACGAGTAAAAATCACAGCCATCACATCAGAAAGAGTTACTCTAACCATATCGTTGTTCTTCTTTTATTATTTATGTATTTATCTCGAATAACCTACCTTTTCCACCCAGTGCTCTCGTAATGAGGTGGTACGTTTAAAGCTTCCTGTAAAGTCTCCGCTGACAGGAAGTCGGAAGAATGGCTGCGTTGTGTTCAAATACGCCCGGAATTTTTGCGACGTGCTTAAATTGAAAACATGCGTTCAGTTTCCAGTGATACAAAGCTGACTGAAGTGAGCTTAGGTAATGTTTTTACACTTCAGTATTAATTCTGTAAAAAGTCCATATTACTTAAATATTGTTTGCTTTTGTTCTTTCTTGTATTTTATATCCAAAAAGGCAACAAGGGCATAAAAATTTTAATTAACGAGTACTTGAAAGTAGCATCATTTGTTCTATTTCACATGTAGATCCACAATATTTGTGAAATACTAATGGCATTATCATTGTGAGTTTAAAGATATGTATGCATATTATTAAAAAAGTAATAAGTGCAGTCATTATGACTGAGGGTTTAACACACTGAGAGGTGGGGCAGATCCTCTGTGATCACTAGAGGGCGTGAAGGAGCAAACAGTTCCTGTTTGTTTTCATCTTAGTTCCTGCTTCTCTGCTGCTGACCATTTTAGATGCTTTAATACATTCAGCATATCATTTACCACCTTCTCTGCGAGCATTTTTATTTTTTAAAGTGGTTTTATTTGTCAGGTCATTTTTCACTGAACTATGAATCATCCAAGCACATTTCTTCTAGAAAATCTAAAGTTTTAACCATTCTTATATTCATTCAACCTTTATTTATACAGGTTAGTCCCATTGAGCCACGAGGACTCATTTACAAGAGAGACCTGAAGCTTATATATATACTTATATACTTTGTATATATATATATATATATATATGCTTTCTCAGTTGAGACATGGATAGTTGGATGATATTAAGATCCAAATTTTGAACAGCAGAGTCAAATGTTCTCTCAGCTGTTCTCATTGAGTTGGATGTTTGTTGTTTGTTTGTTTATTTGTGGCTGTCCTGGTCATCAGTTTGTGCTGCAGGCAGAGGATGAACTCGCTGAGAGGAAGGCCAGTTGACCTTCTGCAGAAAACGAGATGATTACAATGCAAGTCACTGCTCTTTTAGCCTTTCAGAGCCTTTTTGTTTTCATTTTCACAAGAAACTTCATCGCTCACTTTGATTTCTTTGCTGTCCTTCTTTCTGCTTTTCCTCTGTTGCATCCTCATCTTTCCTCCCCTCTTCACTTCTTTCCGTCTTCCTCTACATGTGCGCGTCTATCAGCTGTGACCAACCGCAGGGATGGATGTCAAGGACATTGTGCAGCTTGTCTCCCAAAGATAATCCCATTAAACTCAGAAATTTAATTACAGATTATCTCACACACTGACACACAGCCATGCCAACACATGAGCACGTCCAGGTTTGTGTGCACAGGTGGGCATACACACCTGTATGCTCACACAAACATGCACAAATGCAAACCCACGCAGGACCAGGTCACACACACTGGATTCACCCTTTGGCCCGTCAGTGTGTATCAGTGTCATCCTGCAGTCTGAAACTGCACCAGTGTGTTTTTTTTAGAGCAGCAAGGACACGACTCTGCGTACAGGCCTTTTGTTATTTCACTCAGAGGGAAACATAGACAGAGATGAATGTACCCTCTCAAAAAAAAAAAAAAACCCCACAAAGGTCACTAAAATTACGTCTTACTGACAAAAGTAATAATTAAAAATCAGACATTGCTTTTACATTTGGGCTCAGCAGAAACAACAAATCAAAGAAACTGTCCGCGATAAAAAAAAGGATCACATCCTTAATATTTTGTTGCACAACCGTTTAATCACGAGAACTGTGTGACTCTGACACTTCTGCACCTGTCCAGGTGTTTTGGCTCAACTCCTCACGACAAACTGCTCCAGCTGTCTCAGGTTTGAAGGGCTCTTTTTCCAGATGTTGCAGCTCCTTCCCCAGATGTTCAACAGGATTTAGATCAGGTCTCAGGACACGTCAGAATATTCCAATGTTTGGGTTTTGAGATATTTGTGGGTGTTTTGGCTCATTATCCCATTGGAGGACACATAACCTTCAACTGGAACCAGCTTTCTGACACTGGGCTGCACATTTTGCTCCAGACTGCCTTGATAGTCTTGAGATTTCATTGCGTCCTGCACGGAGGACAAGTTATTACTCTACTGTGGATTTTTTTTCTTTAACTAAAAGGTACAAACACATTTAAATGTGTCTGTATCAGGGACGGTGTAAACTGTGGCATTTAGACAAGATGCTGAGGGGTGGGGGGTCTAAACGGTTAATCTTATGATTTTAAAATGACCTCTTGAACATGAGGACTAATCTTCACCACAACACCTTTAAAGGTGTTGAAGCTGTTCTCCAAAACTGTATTTATTATTTATATTATTTATTAAATTATTTTAAATGAATTAAATAACAACTGCATTTAACCATGTGCAAAGAATCGGACACAACTTCAGCTTACGTTTTCTGCCTTGAGGTGAAAATTATCAGTTTGTGTCATACATATAAAACTTAAAGTAAGTTAAAAATCATCTAAACAACGTGGGAGTGGTGGCACAAAGAATAGAGAACATGGGCCTGTGATCGGAAGGTTGCCGGTTCAACTCCCCGGACTGACAACATCAAAATGTGAGTGGGAAAGGTGAAACATCCTCACTTACCATACCATTTTATTTATAGAGCGCTTAAAACAGCTACAAGGCCAACCAAAGTGCTGTACAGACAGAACAACAGGTAACACACAAAGCAATAAACAAAATGAAGTTAAATCAGAATATAGACATAAAAACGTCGCAGATAATTAATATAACGACTAACGTGTGTGAATCAAACAGGATCAAAACACAGATCCTCTGGTGTTGAAAGCTACTGAATAGTAGTGAGTTTTTAAACAGGATTTGAAAACCGAGAGGGAGGGGGCCTGTCTGACAAGCAGAGGTAACTCGTTCCAAAGTCTTGGTCCTGCTACAGAGAAGGCCCTGTCACCTCTCTCTTTTGCCTGTACTGGTTAAAAATCGGGCTGCTGCATTCTGGACCAGTTGTAGTTGTGCAATGGAGGTCTGACTGATACCAAACAGGAGTGAATTGCAGTAATCAAGCCTAGATGTAATGAATGCATGTATTACTGTCTCCAGGTTCTTTTTGGACAACATGGGCTTCAGTTTAGACAGTCGCCTCAGTTGGAAGAAGCATGATTTAACAATCATGTTTACACGATTGTTAAGTTTCAGGGAAGGGTCCATTATCACTCCCAGATTAGTGACTCTTTGTTTTTCTGACAGGGTTAGAGCGGAAAGGTCGATGCAGTGGTTCGTGATCGTGTCGTTGGGAGAGAACAACATGACTTCAGACTTCTTTTCATTGAAACTTAAGAAATTTAAAGCCACCCAGTCCCCGATGTCAGCCAGGCCGTCGAGCAGAGGAAGAATAGAGCATGTACCATTGTGTCTTAGGGGGAAGTAAATTTGACAGTCATCGGCGTAGAAGTGAAAGCGTATGTTGTGTTTCTGGAAAATAGCACCAAGTGGCAGCAGATATAAAGAGAATAGGAGGGGACCCAAGATGGACCCCTGTGGAACCCCAGAACTAAAATATTTGATGGAAACACAAAAGGATCTGTCACTTGTCCCACTCTGGGCCCTCAACCCCATATCTGCTCCCCTGGGTGCCCTAGATAGCAGCTCTTTGCGCCATACAGAGGGCTGTGGTAGCTCGTTGGTCTGTGGTTGTGTCAGGAAGTGCATCCAGCATAAAAACAAGTGCCAGGTCTTCGTGCGAGTTGGTTCATTGTGGCGCCCCCTGACGAAGGGAGCAGCCAAAAGAAGAAAATCATCTCAACACACTCAGTGGTCGACCTCAAAGTTCATAATTTCTCCACAAAAATAAGATAATTTCCCAGATTTGATCTGACTCTGTCATCAGATTTGTTTCCTTTGCAGCACAGCTGAAGATGTGCAGATCACCATTGTGTGTGTGTGTGCGTGCGTGCGTGCGTGCGTGCGTGCGTGTGTGTGTGTGTGTGTGTGGTGGAGAAGGATGGATTATATAAGAGTACATACTTCAGCTGAACCCCACTCCATGCAGCATCAGAGGAAGAAGCTCTCCTCCCTTTATCTATTTTTTACCTCCTCTGTCAGGCACTGAGCCTCTGCACCCCGTCCTTATCCCTTCATCCAAACCCTCAGTTTATCTTCTTTTTTTTAATTAACACTCCTCTTCCTCTCCCCATCTCCCCTCTGAGTCATCTCCCCTCCCCCCCACTTTCGTCACACATCTCACCCCCTCCTGCTCCCCTCCTGTTTTCCTCCTCATCGTTCTGCCTCTCCAGTATTTTCTCGGTCGCCGTGAAAGGCAGAAGAGACGCAGGAGGCAGGTAAAGGCGGAAACAATTCTCCTTATCTCCATCAAATCCAGAGGGGTTTGTGTCTCACCATCACTTTTTTCATGTTTGATTCATTGCAGGTTAGTGGATGATTGATGGACAGGATGCAGTGAGATGTGCGTGTGTGTAGGATGCTTTAGGTGCATAATGATGCTGTGTTTCTGCTGTAGCTTCATAGGTGCGTGGAAAATGTCTGTAAACTGTGTTTGGGGCGTAAAACGTGACGACTGGTCATACATGTGTGTTTTCACTGCACAGTGTGTCAGTTTGGGGTACCTGAGTGTGTGTGCATGTGTAAACCTGAGGTGCTGTAACATGTAGACATACAAATGAAAGGATGAAGGAAATAACCCTGTGACTGTTTTAGCATTACGTGCACGCTTAAATGAGTGCGAGAGAGCGAGACATGCAGATTTAGGTGTTATTGTGCATCCTTGTGGTAAATCACAGTGGCTTGTTTAACAGAAAATGTGTGCACAGCTTCATAATGTCAGTGTCTGTGAAAGTGTGTGTGCGTGAGTATTTTGCAGCATGAATTTATTTTTGAATCTTTGTAAAATGGCTGTCAGGTGTATCAAGTGTTTGTTTCCTCTGAGTCTGGACTGCAGTAACAATTTCTGCGTGCGCACGCGTGCACGTCCTTGGGATGTGAAGAGTAATTGAGTTGGAGGATGCAGCAGGGGAATG